AACAGTGCGGGGTGGGGGAGAAGGTATACTTAACCCAAAGAAGCCCCCTTGAGTTTACATTCCAGGGCGTGGCAAATATGTATTTTGTTTTCACATTTATTTTCTATTTACATGGATAGCTTCTCACTTGGTTTTGTTTGCCGAGATGAAAAGGGGCTCTGACCACACAGGAAAAGTACCTAAGGTACAAATTTAGAAGATATTCATAATAAAATTCTCATAAAATTAAAAGCTATAATAATTCTAGGGTAATTCTTAATTCGATATTTATGGGAATTCTTCTGAAGAAATGATTTACATTTTTACCTAATTGCATAGATGGTACAATATCTGCAATTGTACAACTCTATAGGAAAATGGGTACAGAAATTTCAAAGATATTTACAGAATATATTTTTTATTTATATATTCTGTGTTTTTATTAGATTGAATATAACCATTATTGCAAATAAAATAATCAAGTAAATGGTCTGGTAAAAATGTACCTAGTCTTTTTTAATTTTAATTGCACTAAGTTAAAAAAATTCGTAAATTTATTTATCTTCTTAAAGATCAAATCGATAATCATGAATTTTATATTAATGTTACTATGAGCTGTAAAAGTAACTATTTTCAATCCGTATAATAATTTCCCTAACTAAGTACTTATGGGTACATGTTCCCCATTATTTATGGTCAATAGCTTCAAAAGCATAAAAAATAAACCCAAAAAAACACTATTTGCCAGGCAAATCTCACAGAACAGCTGATAGCCAGTAGGTTCACCCTCCCAGCCCCACCGATCGCCGATGGCTGCTTAGCGTGTTCATGCAAATTCGACCTTGACACAATTCCGTTTCATAACAGAGAAGCAAACAAATGAGCGAGGGAGGCAGGCGAATATACCCAACACACAACACCCATGTGTGTGAACGAGTGTGTGCGGGGCGACACACATAAAGAGACAACAACAACCACAACAGGTGGCAGCAGGTGAGATGGAGACAGAAACCCGTGTAATAACTCAACCTCAAGTGCGGGCCAACTAAAAAAAAAAAAAACAAAAAAAACAAAAACCAACAAAAAATCTCCACTTTTTGCGGCTTTTGCAGTGAGAGAAATTTTAGGGAATTCAGAAAAGAATTAACTAAAAATATTTATGATAATTGAAAGCAATTAAAATAATATTATTAATAAATGTGATACAAATGATTACATTATTGGGAAGAATGAGAATAGAATTTCATCTAAAAATAAACATCACAAAAAGATAAGTAAATGCTTAAACAATTCTAAATTTGAAAACATTTTTTAATTTGTTGATTACAAATTAATCTAAGTAGTGATTATACAACTTAAAAGTAAGAAAAACTTAATTTGTGTGTAAACCAAAATCATCTTAAAAAGGTATATATTTTCTGATCCAAGAAGACTTTCTATTATATTTTATTACTTGTTTGTTTTCTTAAATTTAAATGTTTCCTTTTATTTATTTGTTTTTTTTATCTTTGTTTATATTATTAATTATTATATATTTATGATCTTAAAACATATTCCCCCTGTGTAGCCGCTGTCGTTACACGTCGCTACCTCGCATTTATGTTCGCCACCGGCATTCACATGGCCAAAACGGCTTACGAAAACTGTTTTTACTTTACTGCCAAGAAGTCAAGTCTGAGAATTGCATGCTCTGAACTTTGCTGGATTTTCTTTGGAAGATTTTTGGGGTAGGGGGGAGGGAGGAAAGGTGGAAACCGAGGTTTTGTTTTGGGTGCGGGTGTGGACTTGCACAAGCGTTGAGGTGCGATGAGCCGCAGCATGCGATGAGGAGCACTCATTGGAAATTCTAATAAAATCGGGCCCAGACCCAGGGGTCAGGTCAGATCATCTCACGATCTTCGAAACCGAATCGAGATCTTTAAGGCACCCATCTCCATACCAATCCCAGATGGGATCAGATCAAAGGGGAGCTACCGACAAATTTTTGAGTCATGTTTCGGTGCCAAATTGGCTGGGCTGGCTAAAAGGAAAAATATATGCGATGGGGGATAAGAAACAGAAATCGAGACCTCCCCTGAACACAATGAACTTCTAATTAATTTCAATTTCGCGGGCTTTGTTTTTGCTTTTCCTTTTAAGAGGCATCCAACTTAATTTCTATTATTAATTAGTTAACACATTTCGTGCATTAATGAAGGAGCTCATCGACTCATCGATGGCACGTGGAAGCATTTTTTATCGCTCCCCGTTCCCCATAAATATGCACATATATCTATATATTTCTATTGCTCTCCCCGATCTGATGGGAATACATTCTTGGCCGGATTTCATTCTTCAAGCGAACACCTTGGGCCGGAGATTTGCATGGAATTATGAAGGCAAAGGCAATCAACGGATTTCGCGTGTGTGGCAGGTGACATCGGTTATCTTGTGAATGGGAGCTGATTGGAATTGTTGATAGGGAAGTTTAACAATTTATTACCCAAGAATGTTCGAAGATAAAGTTATACTGCAAAAGTAAATCCTTTAATGGGTTTCGATTTGCATGGCTATTTAGCATTTGAGAAAACAAGATGTTGGCTTTATATATCTACAAAGACCAAGATTCTGAATAATGTAAATAATAATTAACTCAATTAGAACTTGATTAAGAATATAATCTAAGCATGTGATGAGGGGAGTTAAGTGCCAGTAAGCTTTCTGATTTATTTAATAGACAATAAGCTCTTTATTAACACATTCTATCATTACTTTTTGTTTCTTTTGTGTAAAATATTATACATTTTTCCTCCCTAAAATACAGTTCCCATTCTTAAATTCTTCTTAGTTAAATTTAACTTTATGGATATGATTTCCTCTCCTGCAAACCACTTCCCAAGCTTCTCATTTCTCACGTTCTAAGATCAGATAAATGCAAACATCTTTTTGACAAACTTCCTTCCTTTGTGATCTATCTCTTTTAGTTTTTTGCTGCCTTAAAAATAAATTAATCTCGACTGCTGCTGTCTGGGGCTTAATTCATTTTTTCGAAAGTGAAAATGCCAGAACCAAAACTGAGATCCAGATGGCAATTCCAAATCCGTTTCGGTCGCAGTCATTATCCGATTTAAAGATCAGCCCCCACAAACGAAAAAGGAGACTCTTCAGAATGTTTATTCGTGTATCTCTTACACAACAATAAATTATAAAGATTTTTTGTATTGTATTGTGTGCTACCAAATTGGATGATGTGCCGCGGTTGCTTCCCCATTCTTGCTCACAGCTGGATATTCAGATATTCACGTGGGTGCTGGCTGCTCACTCTATATATGATATTGTCAAATCCGACAATCCAAAGCCGAGCCCGAGAAGTGGCAAACAAATCGACAAAGTGAAGGGAACCCTCAGTCTGGGAATGCGATCGACTTGATTGAGTTTAAGTACGAGTATTTCGCTTTACTTTTCGGTGACACGTGTCCCCAGAGCCAAGGGGTTCGTAAACTTTATATAGCTTCCGTCGCGGAACAAAGCAGCCTCCGCGCGACTTAATAGAATTTGTTATTAACTCTTAAAATTAAACAAAATTGCATGGCTGAGCAGAAATTGCCCAACATTTAACATTTACTTTGGCGCTTTTTTTTGTTGTGTTTTTATTTGAGAATTCTGCACAAGGTTATCAAACACAAACACCACCAGCACCAAAAGCAAATTGAATGCAATTAAAGTTTGCATTGAAAGCCGCCGAAAAATTGCTTCTTTTTAAGTATTTTAATAACCGAATGCAATTTGCAGTTCATTCGCGTTGTGTGTGTGTGTGTGGGTTTCGAGTTTGTCTGAGTTTTCGATTCTTTTAGCCACCAAACAAAGTGCAATAAAATTTATCAGGGCAACAACATTTGAAATTGTTGAACTTAAAATTGATTTCGAAAACTTATTCACCAAGAATAAGAAACTAGAAGCTGGGAAGTTGTTTCTAATCATTTTTATATGCTATTAAGATAATAAACTTGACAAATAAGTTATCGTTCAAAAGAATGTTTAATGTTATGACTTACTAAAATATATATAAATATTCATGACACTAATTGATACACAGGGAATGTGTATAAGTATTTGATTTATATTATTTGAATCTATTTCATAAATTTGTTAGCAACCAATATAATAGTATTCAATTTATGAGAAGTATGTAATATTGTTACATATTTTTAGAACATTGCATTCGATGCCAATAATTTGTACAAAATATTAATAGGTTTTCTATAACATAGATTAAAAGTTAAATTTTAAGGCAGAAATTTAATAGTTTAATTTAATTTATACGACATAAGTCAAAAATTTCTGCACAAAAATTAATATTATAAAGACTTAAGTCTAGCATTTGTTTTTTATAATTTTACATTTAATTATATTAGATTTTACTTTTTCAAACTAACTCATGTTTATTTCAGAAACTTTATTTCATTGTACTTTATTAAGTATATTGCAAGACTCCATGAAATAATTAATATACATAACATTTACAAATTTAAAGCCCGATTTCAAAACAATTACGAAATATGGCAATTAAAGTGAGTTCAAATCACATCAAAGGAGAAACCCCGCCTAGCAATAATTCCAATTTACTTATTGATCAATCCACTAAGGCTTAACTTAAAATATAAAACATATATATATAAGTATGTCGCGAAATTATGATGAATGATGGGGTTGGGAAAAATTTGCAATTGCCAAGAGACGTAAAAAACAAACCGAAATAAGAAAAGGAGACAAATACAGAAAAAAAAAATAAAACAAATTGTAAACATGTTTTTTTTCTCTCTTTTTTTAGCCATTGCGGTGTGCCGCCTGGCATTAATGGGCCAAGAGGCGTGGCACTTTTCGGAGGCGGCACAAAGACAGGCCGCCGACTTGTCACGCACATTTCTGTTGTTGTTGTTGTTGTTGCTCTCGCTTAGCCTACTTAACTTGTTAAAGTTAAAGTTGCAACAACACTGGGTGTATCTATGTATCTTTTTGGTGGGATAAATTTGTCATTTTACCTGCTTGGGCGCATCCATTTTGACCAGGTGAGCAAAAAGTTGTGGGTGTGAGAGTGGGAGAGATGATTGGAATTCAATTGGGCCTCTCTTTCGCTTCTTTTATTTTTATTTTTGTGTTGTATTATTTTTATTATTATTATTTTGGTGGTGTCTTCACTTGGGCTACTTTGCGGTGTGTATTTTTAGATTTATTTGTTTGTTTTGAAGGTTATCAGTGAAATTCGTCACTTTTGATTACTTTAATTATTTCGATTTCAGTTTAAGGGGTTTCCCTTGCTATCGTTCGTTATAAGTTTATCGGTGCAGTTTCGATTTATAATTATCCTTATTAGCTTTCAGTTTCCTTCCCTGTTCGCGTTTCAATACTTGATTTCGATACCCAAAGTCCTTTGATTTCGTTATCGATTAATCACTTTCGATTGCTGAAGCAACAATTTTGATTTGACACTTTTCAACTTGTTGTTGTTGTTCTTTACTGTTTCGATTTTTCCATTCGCCGCCACAACTTTGTTTCGAATTTGGAAAAGATTAATTTTCGCATTCACCGGGGAAACTCGTTCGGGACTTAAAGTTTTTGGCGGTAGTTGGCAAATGTAACTTGGTTTTTTCTAACTCTATCTTTAACTCTAAGCTGGCTGATTGCTCTGCTGGCGCGTGCACACTCCGTTGCGGCTGTGCTGAGACTAACTGCGACGGCGGCCGCCCGACGCTTCAAGTATTAAGAGAAAAAACTACATTAAACATTATTTGCTTTGGGGGGCCGCCTGCAAACACAGACACACACAGCTGCAGCACACTTACACACTCACACACACATACACCATGACAGGCATGGCTATAATTTGTATGTACGACTCTTGGCCGATCTGAACTTTTGTGGTTAATGCCAAAAGTTGGCTTCTGCTCGAGTGGCCTGAAGTTGGGCCGAAGTTGGCGAAGAAGCTGTGATCGAAGTGGGCGTGGAAGTGGGGTCAAAAGTGGAGTAAAGGTACAGAGGGAAAAATTAAAAGGAAAACTATTTTCCCAAATATATATATCAATAATGTAATGGCTTTGGGGAATCCATTTCTAAATAAATATATTTAGACATATATTGCAATTTAAATTTTAATTTTTGAATAATTCTGCAATTTAAATATATTATATAAGTATAATATATTCTGAAATTTATATATATGATTTAAATGTATTATATAAATATAATTTATTCAGCAATTTACATGTATAATTTATTGTATTTAAATTAAAAAATCTAATTAAAGTCAAAGAGCTGACTTTATGTCACTTATAAATAAAACAAAGAAATGATCTTTTTAAGGACAATCATAATACTTTGATATTTTTTACAATGTTTAGCAGTGTAGACTAGTTTTCAGCAAGATTCAGTTGGGAATTCTAGGGGAAAAAAGGAAAAAGTGCTTCAATCTATCCCTTGTACGATATTTAAAGAAATCACTTAAAACAGAGCACATTATGATTAAAAAAAACCATTTATTATAATCTATTGATTTCTATAATCATTTTTCTTTCTTATTTTGTATCAAACTAGTTATTTTTCTTAAGTGTATCTGCATTCGAGCTTTGCTCTATCACAGAACCAGATACAAAATCAAGGTCACCATAAACTTCCGTTTCTTTCATTTGCGATTTCTTTGTTTATTTTCCTTTAAATTCTTTTGGTTAAATTCATTTGCCTTATGTAATGCACTTTTAATTGAACATCTTCCTCAGGGCAGGGAGATTCCCAAGGCATTATGTTTTTATTTTACGGCAAATTGTGAAATTGTGTAAGGTTTTTACCTTATACTCTTTTTTTTTTGTAGGCCGCTGCCATATCGCACGTACACAAGAGATGGAGATAGAAAAGCGTGAGTAAGAGAGAGCAGTGCCGGCAACGACCTTGACACATATTTGAGGCCGAAGTCAACGACCAACGGAGCTGCCTCGTGGAAAACTCGTTACTGTTGAGGCGACCAGGTGAGTCACGCGGAGAAAGAGTTAAAGAGATGGTGAGAGTGTGGCAAACAGGTGTATCTCTTTGCCATGAACTTGAATTCGATTTGGACTTCGTGTTGAACGAATCTGTAACACAACTCATAATGAAGGTCACTTTATAAGGCAGAAAAAATAAGATTGATCTGTCTTACTCAGGGAATGTTCGAGATACGAAAATGAATAAATACAGAAGTAATAAGCTTAGGAAATCATATATAAAAATAAAATTAAGTATTTCAAAAAGTCATTTATGAACCATAGATACATCAAACAAATTCTACAAACTTATAGAACTTGAAACATTATCAAATTCTGACTTCATTGTTTCATCCAAAAGTATTTCCAACCATTAACGTAAGCGTGCAAAAAAACGTGACAGTTAAGGAGTCTGCTTAAAAGTCGTAAAGAAGATTTATGTTATGTATGGGCCACTAAATGATCATTGGTTGTAAAGGCAATTGTATAATACTGACAAATTAATAGTCGCAGTTATGACCATTAAATGTAAGAGCCTAGTAAAAATAATGGCGATTTAGTGAGGCATCGTAAATTAAGAGTTTATACAATCCAAAGCATAGGACAGTAATTTATAAAAAACATCTTGAATTTCATCAACTTAGCAAAGCATTTATGCGCATTTCATCAGCTGGGAATTAAAGCAAGACATTTAAGAAATAAATCTGATAAATTTTGGGAACTCCCCCATGATCAGCTGCATATTTTATACCGCTTCTTCTTTATTTTTTTGTTGAGGCTTTTGCATTTGTTTGTTTTTGTGTTATGTTGACGTTGGTCAGTTTTGTTTTGTTTGCCAATGACGGGGCAAATTTTCCAGGCCAACAGCTTTGAACCCTTCAGATGCCAGTAGTTTTTTTATTTAGCTTTTGGGACAACTCTTCTGTCGGTTAACATTCAGTTGCAAATTGCTGTTAATTTCCAACTAAAATATTTACACCAATAGACAATGGCGGCGGAGAAATAAGTGGATCAAAGCTGGCCCCCAAAGAACCTTGATAGTGCGAAAATGCCTGAAATGCAAATTAAAAGCAAGAATTGAGGCTTCTTTCAGCAAGCCAATGTTTGTATACCCTTTAGGTATATTATAAAGTAAAATAAATTCAGAAATCTAAAGTTTTATGGGCATATAAACTTAGCTAAACAGCATCTAGTGTGCTCATAGTAATAATTTTTTATAGGTCCCATAAATATATATATTTATTTATTTAAAATACTCGGTAAATATAATCCACAAACACCATTATCATTACGATTATACCCCTGCGAAGGGTACAATAATATTTTTCCCTACTCTCGAGGCAGAATTAAAGCCAGACCCCTTCGGCGAGGTCTAATCTCTGGAGGGGGTCTTGTGTTGGCTGCGAAGTTTAAGCCACAGTCAGATCGCTTTGACAAATGCCACAAAAGCCTTGGCAACGACTTACCACCAACCATCTTTCCAGCTGCCAGCTCTCTTGGCCAGTTAAGCCGTCGATGACTTTAATTACAGTTATTCGAGCTAACGGCGTCTGAGCTGACATTTGCATGGATGGTTTTTTATATTTTTATTATTAATCGCACAGAAAAGAGAACCAACCCAAGTGCAAAAGTCAAGATTTCCCGGGTGGGAGAGTTTGGGAATTTGTTCAATCCAAGGTGTATTTGTGTGCATGGATGATTTGTGTCTGGTGAGTCGCAAAAGTTTAGTACTCATTAGTATACAAATTTATGTTATGCACTAGGCAGAAATATTGCAATTTCAAGTATTGACAACTGTTGCATAATCCCATGTCCACGAGCTTTGCCTATTAAAATACTGTAATAAATCAGTGGTTCAAGCAAGTTGTTTAATAAGTTAAATGTTAAACGAAAAAGTCATGCAGGGGTAGTTATTTATATTTTATATGGGTGACATAATCTTAATAAAATGCATTTACAAGTAGGTTATATTATGCACTTGAGGTAATACCATAAAATAAATATAAATTGATAATAATATCACTCATACGCAGTGTTGCAACATATCATAAATTCTTTAGTATAAATTAAATATACATATTATGCACATAATATATATAAATACACATACTTATTGTACATATAATACAGATAATATACTCTCATTTAAATATTCACACATCACTCATATGCAGTGTTGCATCAGCTGGAAAATACTATTGAGGTTTTAATAACTCTTTTTAGTTATATATAACATTTTTATATCCAAGTCTATAAAATTACTTAATATATTGCATATCTGTTATAAATTGTATCATTACATCAGCCATAAGTACTATTTCTCATGCCTTAAAATAAATATTACTCATACGCAGTGTTGATAACATAATATAATTCTTTCCCTAATATGTACAGTTTTCTATGACCTAAAAATAATATTATTCAAACACAGTGTAGTTAATATAACCCCATATAAATAATGTATTATTTGTTTCATATGCATTATATATACATATTTTTTTATTATAATTACATCACTCATACGCAGCGTTGCCTTGGTTGGAGAATTAAGTATATTCAACATTTTTATACCCAACACCGAAAATATTAATTATTTAGTATATTTCATGCCTCACACGTACAGTTTTCCATGCTTTGCAAATAATATCACTCATACGCAGTGTTGTCAATATAGCCTCAAGTAAATTATGTACATTTTATACGGTTTAATTTTATTATTATCACAAATTCAACGACTATCTTTAGTTTTATCCAACAATATCATACCCAATTACCAGCTAGCGTTGCTAAAGCCATAACTAATATAAATATTTTGCTGGATTTTATGACAACTCTAATTAATAATAGGTGTTAAATGAGTTTGCCAAAAAACTTAAACGTCGCGTACAAAACAGCAAGAGAGCGAAGTGCTGAAGGGGAATTATCAATGTCGCATTGCTTATCGGCCGCTGAACCCAAACTCTAGTATTAGCATTTTTTTTGCGCTGGCCAAAAGCCATAATTTTGGCAAATCAATTCGCTGCGCTCAACATAAGCAACTTAATAAATAAGATATTAATAAATATAAACTGTCAGTCTACCTGGCCGGCGACTCAGAGCGACGTGTGCAGCTGTCATAATTTTGGACTCTGAAAAGCGGTACGGGGAACTCGTGCCTCGTTCAATTTTTCGGTAGCTCAATCAAATTATAAAGCCCGACGGACAACGGACAACGGACAACATCAGCAACAACATTCAACACTGGCTTGCAAATTATTTACAATTTATATGCACACAATCTGCGGGACGGCAACTGCGAAACCTTCAACTGCGGTTTAGCATTAGAGCCGATTTTGGCCAGATTTCACTGTGGTAACTGCCCTTGCCACTGTTTGCTAAACGTTCTCTAAGGTTGCTGGGAAAGTTTTCATCTACGGAATGCTGAATGCCAAACGCAGGTCGGGGACCGAAGTCAAGGCTAATTTGTTTATTGAACATTTAAGGGTTTTCGAGAATTATATCGAAAGTTAATTAATTGAATTCCTTGACATAACGCTGTTGGTTTTATTAAAAATGATTTTCTAATCTTCCAAAATGGTAATAAAAATAAACTCAAGACATAAACAGAATCGTTAAAGTGATATTTTAGGAAACATAAAAAATCCATGCAAGTGCACCTGACCAAAAATAAGTTGAGTTATTTAAATTAAAAGATA